AAATGGCATTAAAGCCTTGCATTGGCCACAAAACTGGAAAAAAAAAGATAGAAAAATCTTTTCCTATTATTAGCTAATGTGTGGGATAATATCTCTTTAAGTGGAAAAACAAATTGACAACACTCCAAACTAGTTTTCAGTAGACTTCATTATTTTTTTTATAGCAGCTTTGGTTTACAGTAAAATTGAGCAAACACTAGAGGGATAATCACTTTATACTCTTGTTCTCCCTGCTTCTATTTTTAAAGGCTTTTATTCTTTTTGTGTTTTTGTAAAAATTTATTTATTTTAATTGGAAAGGCAGATCAGATTTATGTAGAGAAGAGACAGTTCTTCCATCCACTGCTTCACTTCCCAGATGGCCACAGTGGTATGAACTGAGCTGATCCAAAGCTAGGAGCCAGGAGTTTTTCCAAGTCTCCCGCATGGTTACAGGGTCCCAAGGCTTTGGGCCATCCTTACTGCTTTCCTAGGCCATAATCAGGAAGCTGGAAGGAAAGTGGAATAGTCGGACACAAATGGGCGCCTATATGAATTCTCAGCATTTGCAAGGTGAAGATCTAGGCCATTGAGCCATTGTGCTGGGCCCAGGCATTTCTTCTTTAGGATCTGTTCATAATACCCACAGGAACACTTTGACACTATTTGCACATCTATCTGCCACTGAAGAAACTAGTAGATTTTTAATGTGTGTGTGTGTGCATGCATGCATGTGCGCGTGCTTCCTTTTTTAAAATGCAAAAACCTCAAGCCAAATGAATCAGGAAACTACTCTTGTGAAAGTGACATTTTAGTGTGGTTCTCCCTATACCGATCAGTCATGGTGTAGTTTTGATAATTGCATCAGCGATGCAGTTTCTCTCCCTGAGAGCTGGTCCTCTGTCTTGTCATCATTGCAATAATCTCATTGAAGAGCTCATGGCCCCAGAGCTATATGCTGTAGCTATATGTTTTTTTTTTTAAGATAACTTGAGAGAGAAATAAGATTTTATACTTTCCTGAGAGATGCTGTGAGGACTAGATGGGCCTGTCTCAGGTGTTGGCTCAGGTAATGCAGGGAGACCCTTTGGATCATGTGGGAGTGGGCTTCTGCTTGGAGTCTTCCAGCATGTTACTATTTGGCCATACTTAGCAATTAAGCTCAGCTTCCAAAACTGAGCTGCAGTTTAAACAGTTATGAACAGGTCCAATGTGCAGTCAGCTGGACTTGATGAGATTAATTGTGCCTTTGCAGGAAGTTGAGGGATGCACCTGTTAGAGTTGGTGAATGCTCAGGCTCTTGAGTTTGCTTCCTTTTTGGCAGCAGAGCAGGTATCAGCTGCATTGTGTGGTTGGGCAGGGTAAATGTGTAGGAAGCTTTCACTGTTTAGCCAGGGGTAGAACTAGGAAAGAAGATTGCTTTGGAGATGGACTCACAACACTGTGTGGGGATGGCGAGCTCATGCATGAATTTATCTTCTGCTGGACCACCAGACTCAACCCTTCTAAAAGGGCTCCCCTTGATTGTGCCCTGGGCTGGAAACTGCATTTCTTAAGTAGCATGGTGAGTCACTCTTGCAATACTGTGTCCTTTGGAAATACTGTGTTGGAACAATAAATAAGTCCGATGCCACAAATTAGATTTTTACACCAAACGTGATTTGCTGTGCTATCTAGAGCTGTGTAATAATTTTAACTTCACTCAAGATACCATCTTACTATGTACTTGTACTTCATCATGTTCCTTTTCAACATACATATGCATGCACATACATGTCTGTTGCATGACTGCATGTGCACACATGTATGTGTACTGTGGAATGTTTTTTCTGTGGGTAATTTCTTAGGGAGAAAGTCGCTTTGGTGATCTGTATGGGTGGGAATGTGATTATGACATGTTATAATTCAAATGAAGTACAAATCATAAAGATATTCCCAAAATGCCAAAAGGGCATTTAGTGAAAGATAATATAGCTGGTTAATTGGTTAAGCGATTGCTTGTGAAGCATGCTCTTCCTTTACCCTTAGTTGAAGCAACTTGGCATGTGAAACAGTGTACGTCTATTGCTCATTCATTCTAAGCAGTCTCACTGGTGGTCACCCCAAATACAGTGGGATGCTTGTTTATAAGTACCGTGTTCCACAGAGGAATTCGATGTAATCCAGAAACACCCTGGATGCTTCTTGATAAACCTTGATGAAATTACTACACACATGACCTCATTTTAAGGTTAGCCTAAGAGCCAGCAATGTGACATAGCAGATAAAGTCACTGCCTGCAGTGCCAAACTCCCATCTGTGCTCCAGTTTCAGTCTCAGTTGCTCCGCTTCCCATCTAGCTCTCTGCTAATGACCTGGGGGAGCAGAGGAAGATGGCCCAAACTTGTGGGCCCTGCAGCCATGTGGGAAACCCCAGTGAAGTTCTGACCTATCTCTGGCCATCTGGGGAGTGAACTCGTGGATGGAAGATCTTTCTTACCTCCTCCACCTCTCTCCCTCTTTGTAAATCTGCCTTTCAAAAAAGTAAATCTTAAGAACAAAACCCAAAATGGTTAGCCTAAGCTTAGGTCATAGATTCCCAGGACAGAATCAAAGTGATGTGAAACTTGCAAGAAGACCTGAGGGTAGGTACTGCTTTGTGATTATTTTCTGTGTACATTTTAAGTTTACATTTTTGTCTGTAGATGGTCCAGCTTCTACTTTTGTCTGCATTTTTCTCTCACTTTTCCAGTTAACATTGTGTTGCTATTCCGTCGTTCACAGAATATGCCAGTAGTGCTAACAAAAAAATTATTAGGAGTTGTTTGCTTTCATGTACTAGCGATGATGCTGATGTTGGTAACTAAAGCAACAAGCATGACAGAAGGCACATGGCTGACAAATGTCATTTCATTTCTGTTCCGTCCATGCTGTGAGTCAATCTTATCAAATTCCCCATTTTACAAATATGAGAGTGCAGGGACCTCTATGAAGTTACTGAGACAGTGAGCGCCAAAACTGGGAGCAGCACTGGCTTTAAAGCCTGTTTCCTTTGGATTCAGCCACAGTTCTTCCAGTCCTTCCCTCACATTGCAACAATTTAGGGGCTCATTGAAGCCAGAATATGCACACAATTGTCAGAATTAATTCCAGTGGTTTTGTGTTAAGTTGGTAGAGATATGACCTTGGGTGCCACTTTGCTTGAGAAATGCTCAGGTTGCTCATGTGAACTTCCTCCTTTTTGGAATATGGAGAAAAGCTATTTAAAACGTCCATGAAAGCATCCAGGCATATGGTTTTATGTAGGCAAGGATACATCTGGTTTGCTGGTAAAGATGAGTCACACCTTCACCAGCAAGTTTTTTTTTTTTTTTTAATTGGAAAGGCAGATATACAGAGAGGAGAGACAGAGAGGAAGATCTTCCCTCTGATGATTCACTCCCTAAGTGAGTGCAACGGCCGATGCTATACCATTCCAAAGCCAGGAGCCTCTTCCAGGTCTCCAATGCGGGTACAGGGTCCCAAAGCTTTGGGCCGTTCTTGACTGCTTTCCCAGGCCACAAGCAGGGAGCTAGAAGGGAAGTGGGGCAACAGGGATTAGAACCAGCGCCCATATGGGATCCCGGGCGTGCAAGGCGAGGACTTAACCACTTGCGCCACCGTGCTGGGCCCACCAGCAAGTTTTGATCAAGGCCCAGATGGGTATGAGTAATATTGAGGTGATGGCCAGTTGGAGTAGCAATAGTGATCTAAGAATATCTTTGGATGGCAGCTTTGTGGCTTACTGGGTTAAGCCCCTCTTGCAACTCTCAAATCTCATGGGGGCGTTGGTTTGAGTCCTGATTACCCAACTCTTGATCCAGCTTTGTGCCAATATATCTGGGAAAGCAGCAGAGGATGGTCCTAGTGCCCACATACCCTGTACCCACGTTGGAAATTTGGAAGAAGCTCCTGTCTTCAGCCCGGCCCAGTAATGGGCATTGTGGGTGTTTGTAGCATGGACAGTGGATGGGAGACCTCTGTCTTCAGATGTCCCTCTCTGTGGAATTCTGCCTTTCAAATATATAAAACCAATGTTTAAAAACAGAGAAGACCTTTGTAAATTAAACATTGTACCGCAAACATTCTTTTGAAGATATTTTTCCAGGTGTGCTATAACCTATTCTAGGCTGTAATTGAAACAGAAAAGAATCTTCAAAAGCAGTGATAGGGTTTTTTGTGATTATTGTGCTAATCCTGAAATCCTAGCATGAATTAATATAAAGATGGGATTGGGTGCATTAAAGTACCTGTTTTAATCATTTAGCATGTTGTTCAAAACTAAACTGTTTGAAGCTTCCAGTCTAAGGGTGAAAATTGCACTTTCATCTATCAAATCCCACCATCATGTGCCAAGAGCTGCCACCAGGGGCTCCAGTGGCAGCTGTGAAGAGGAGAGCCTTCCAGTCTCAGAGCTGGATACCGGGAGAGATTTGCTGCAGCTCATGTATAATAAAGTGGTAGAGGGTGAGGGTTTTAAAGTACTTCATTAAAACTCAAAAAGAGTAAATAAAATTTCTGTTGAGATCTGATACTATACAAAGCAGTTTTACAGTGCACACTCTTCCAGTTAGACAGTTTTATCTTAGGGGTGAGTGATACATTTCTTTGCAGCAGGGGTGAGAACAGCATTGACCTTTGCCAGCATGTGCCATATGAGAGCTTGATGTGTTCAGACAAAGCCAGCTTCGTGTGTTAGAAGCAGATCAACACCAATCCGCACCCTGCATATACTACTTCCTTTTCCAGGACCCACCTGCATGGGCATTAGTAACAGAAAGGAGTCCTGCATCTTGTGTAGGTGATGGCATTGCGTGAATACAGTTTTTTTGGTTTTTTTTTTTTTTTTGGTTTCAGTTTCTGTTTTAATTTGCCCCAAAGTTAAAATAAAAACCAAGTTTTTGTGTATGGGCTGGGGGAGCAGAGACCAAGCCTTGTTTTCTGTGTGGTCTTGTGTTGCTTGTGGTGAGAATGAACTGATGCTATTTTATCCTTTCATCTAGACGCACTACTTTGGCCTTTGGTTTCTCAGCAAGAGCCAGCAAGCACGATGGGTGGAGCTGGAGAAACCTCTGAAGAAACATCTGGACAAATTTGCTAATGAGCCTTTGCTTTTCTTTGGAGTCATGTTCTATGTGCCAAATGTGTCATGGCTTCAGCAAGAGGCCACAAGGTAGGTGCATTTCCCTACCCCCCTGCATTCCAGATGAGGGTGTGGACTAACTGTGAGTCTTCCAAAGAAGCAGATGAGATGGCTGATTTAAGGGTGTGTGTGTGTGTGTGTGTGTGTGTGTGTGTGCGCGTAGGTAGTGGGGAGATGGTGGGGTTGCAGGGAATTGTTTACTTGGAGCTAAGCAGCTTCTGAATTTCGGTTGAACTCCTGTAGCTCCTATCAATAAGGCAGTAACCAGATTGAGCCAATCTAGTTTTGTAACTTGCAATCTCAATTATTAGTTGGACACAGATTAAAATTGAATTGGTAGAATGTAAGTAATTAAAATGCTGGAATTTAGTAGGAAAGGAACTACCCAGTGTTGTTCTGTCCATTTGTTTCCTTAAAATATTTCCCAGCAGAGTGAAATTGCAGATTCTGGATTGGAAGATAGGGAAAAGTCACTAAAGATGACAGTGTGTCAGGGAGAGAATGTGGAGACAGGAGTTCCGATTGCCCTGGCTTAAATGAGAGGAGACTTGGGTAGGGTTTCTATCCTGCTGTACCTTTGAAATGATACTTTTTTCTCTCATTTGCAAAGCAAGGAGTTTGATGAGTTCACAAAGTTCTGATAGTCTGTGATCAGCAAATGAAGCCATGTTCATTTTTGTGTTGTACAAACAGTAGTTTTCCAAAACTATCTGGTGAGTCTTCACATTCAGTGGATATTTCCAGTATCCACTACTTTTGATCTTTTAATTGGGTCATGGCGTTCACACCAGTGACATCCTGAGGAGGAGCACTGCTTGCTCATCGCTTGTGTGGTGTTTCAGATTTTAAATTTCTGAAGCAAGGATGTCATCGAATTCTGTTTTCTTTTGTAAAATCAAGAGTTGTCGGGCCTGGCGTGGTAACTAGGGGCTAAGTCCTCACCTTGCATTCACTGGGATCCTATTTGGGTACTGGTTCATGTCCCTGCTGCTCCACTTCCCATCCAGCTTCCTGCTTGTGGCCTGGGAAAGCAGTCGAGGACTGCCCAAAGCCTTGGATCCTGCACACTTGTGGGAGACCTGGGAGAAGCTCCTGGCTCCTGGCTTTGGATCAGCACAGCTCCGGCCTTTGTGGCCACTTGGGGAGTGAACCAGCAGATGGAAGATCTTTCTGTCTCTCCTTCTCTCTGTATATTTGCCTTTCCAATAAAAAAAAAATGTTAAAAAAAAAGTTGGATTAGCAGGAGTCCTGTGAGGGTTCCCTCCCCGCCCCCCACAGTCCCCCACAGGATTTTAGGAATTTTTGTTGCCTTACAAAGGGTCCTAAAGCTAGGGCATACCAGTGAGTGTCAGAACCAGCAAACGACTTAGGCTGGGAAACAAGAGAAAAACATGTTGGAAATAAAGGAATGAAGGCTGATAGCAGGAGAAAGAAAAGGAAGAATTCAAATAGTTTTGGAAGGTTGAAGACCACTCACAGAGCTTGTCTGGGCTGTAGGAGAGTGAAGGAGGCTTGATTTGGACAGAATAATGTTTTTAAATGCTTGATTTTGGTAGTGCAGATGAAGAGATGAGCAAAACTTGGATGTTTTGGGGACTCAGGCCCAACATTGTTGGAGGGTTCTGGAAACATCTGAAGTCTGAACTGGATGGTGAAACTGCCTTCCAGGCAGAGCTGCTGAGGGAAGCCCTGGTGGTGGGGCAGGATTCCAGGGGAATGTTTCACAGGAGGCCCCGACAACATTCATTAGGAGCAGGTTAATGATTAAGTCACCTGTCATCCACTGTTGCCCAGTCGTCCCAGGTGGCAAAGGGCTTTGGCATCTCTGAGAGCACCTGGGATGCCATGTCTAACACAAAACACTCAGTCTTTGTGATGCTCCAGGGTAAGGCATTTGCATAGATTAGGAATAGAAATCTGCCTTTGATTTGTGGGAAGCCCATTGGAAGCTGCAACCATTCGGCCATCTGTGCTTTAAAAATAAGCCTTTGTCTGCAGCCAACCAAAGTTGTTTTCACCCAACACATGTTTGCCTTGGTTTGGCTACTCCTGTTTGAGAGTAAAACAGGTTCCATAGCACTCACGGGCTGGAATTAATATGCAAGGCTGTGTTATGCGGATGAAAATGCATACAACACCGAAAAAGAAGCTATCTTTAGATATTTCCCCTCTGGCCCCAGGCAGTCTCACCCATGGGCATTTGTAGGAATAACACAACCAAAAACAGGAAAGAAACCCTCTGAGGATGGTGTTGATTGCAAAGTGTTTAGTAAGGCGACTGACTTCGTTAGAATAGTGAAGTTGCAAGTAGGAAAGGGAGAAGCATTGCCTCTTTGACATTACTTTGGCATCCCGTGTTTCATCTGCTCTGATGGCTGAGAGTTCTGAGGAGCAGACAGCTTCCGCAGGGAGGGAACCTGCTGGTGCACCCTTCAAGACACACAACCCAGCCCCTCTCAAGAGCAGGGAGACAAAAGATGCTGAAAGGAGAATTCACACAGGAGTAGAAACACAAAGGGAAAAATCCCCTGTATTATTACAAAGGCGTGAAAAAATAAACTGGTGAAGAGAACACACTAGTAGACAGATGGAGGATGAGTCATGAAACCATAGGATTTCAAGAGATTAAGAACCACTGAGCTTTTGACCCCACTCCAAACTGTAAGATGTGTTACCCCTGCACATTGGAAAAGGGTGCTTTTCTCTCTTTGGTTAAAATGACTCAAGGGATGGGACCACCACAGATTTTTCCCATTTTGCTTTGCTTCTCATATTACTTTCTGCCAGATTTTTTTGTTGTTGTTGCTCAGCAAAGGGATTCTTGCTAGCAATTCATCTCTACCTGCGTTTATATTCTCCTCTTAACTCAAAGGAAAGATTCTTGTAATGTGTTTTAGCGATTTGCATAGCAACAGGCCCTTGATAAACACGGGTTTTTTTTAGGGTTGTCTAAATCCCAAAAGAAAAATGATGGCCTGTGAGAAGTGGAGAAATTTTTGGTCAAACAGAAGCATACTTAATAATAGCGAGGGGAAGCCAGAAAACTGCTGCTCGTAGTTTAGGTCTGGGATTTTTCCAGGTTGTCCTCAAGTGAGGAAGTCCCTCTTTCATTTTCTTCAATATTGAAGAGAACACTAGAAAAGGGAAAAGGGATTTTTGAGAAGTTGAGTTTAGGCTTCCATGTTAATTAATGAGTACCTATGTGGTTTCTTGAATGCTTAATTCTGGGCCACTTTTCTTTATACCAGAACACATTTTTCTTTTTACCAGTCTTCGCATTACTGCTATTCAGTGCAGAGACACTTCTGCTTATCTTTCTGAAGGCAGGTAACATTTCCTGGTGTACCTTTCCAGGCAATGCTGTCCACTCTCTTCGACGTGAGCACTTGGCAGAATTAACATAACTCTATTTCTGTTCTGGGCAATGTAGTCACTCCCTTGGCCAAAGAGTCTTGGTCCACTGTTATACATTAGAGGAGACCCCAGGTCTATCGGACTAGTTCCAAGTGCCATACAACTGGACCTGGATTCTTGTCTCTGACATAGCAAGGAATTCAGGCATGATATGGATGTCAAGGTCAGCAGAGAAGCAGGATTTATTTATATTAATGCTGGCAGTCTATACTTAAGGAGTGTGGGCCTACACTAAGGAGCTTTGCTTGACAAGATTTATCATTTTATGTCATCTGGAGGCATGAAAGGTGGTGTCTAGGACAGGGTTTAATGGATGGATCATAAGGCACAGAGTTTGGGGATGGGGTTAAGCACTGTCCATCTCCTTTGCTTTTTGCTGGGGGTTAATCTTGGAAGTATCATGACATGAGATATATGATGTGGGTAGGAGTGTCAGCCATGGTAATTTTATTATAAGTCTAGAGTGAATTAAAGGTCATTATGGGGGTGCAACAGGCAACTGTGTTGGACATTTGGGGCCAGTGATGGATCTGAGCAGCAATTTTGTGGAAGCTGCCATATTCAGCTGCATGGAAATGGTGTAGGGCTTTGGGTGGTGCTGGTGGGGTGCACGGAGGGGCTGGCGACCTCAGTTCCTCCTGGTGAGCTGCCTTCTCAAGTACATCATAAGGAACCTATGTGCAAGTGGAGCCACATGGGCATTTTTTGAATGTCATGGCCACCGTGGTCTCCTGCAGTTAGGACCATTCTTCAGTGCATCATCAGTTCCTCCAAAATCCTCTGCCACAGGCTCTCTTGTAGTCTAGTGCCAAGCTGCACTTCTTACCAGTCATTATCGGAAAGACTTTTAAACAATTTCATCTGCAGATGGGCTTGTATGTGCCTTCACTGAAGTTGTGGGCAGCTCCTGTTTGGAAATAACTGACAGGGCAACCAGGAGTAGGTGCTCACCTTCAAAGCTGTGCTTTTGGGAAGTTTAGGTACCTTAGGGAGGGACATGGCGAGAGAGCAAGAGTCAGGTTGCTAAGTTTTTAGATTGTAATGGGGAATTTTCCTCCAGTGACATATTCAGGTCTGTTGCATGTCGATGGCACGGCCAGATGAGGTGAAGCTCTGCATTCCTGCAAAGGACTCCAGGGCTGTTTCACGGAGTACATTGTGTTAATTGGGACTCAGGAAATAGTTCCAGGACCTGAGAAAGCTTTCTTCACCTTCCCTTTCTTGTAAATTCCCGGGCTTTTCCCTCTTAGACTCCTGCTGGCTGCCTTGGGTGCTGTTGTAAACAAGTTACTGTTCAACCAGTGTTTAAATTGTCTCCTGAGAAGCTCTAATGATGGTAGTGTTTCCATTTCCCTTTACAGCGTCCTTTGTTTTGTTTCTCTGGTTCTTATAGTCCTCTTATTATTTTGAAATGTCATTTTAATGGATATTTAACATTTACCCGTGGGCTGGAACATAGGGACTCCCTTCAAGAGAAACTTAAAACTCAGCATCAATTTCCCATGGATAATATAACTTGCTGAGTGGCAAATCCTCCTCTTGGCCAGCTCCAGCTAGTGAATGGGATCTTGTTCTTTCTCTGGCGGTTATTGAGAATAGAGTTATTTCTCTAGATA